CATCTGGCAACGAGTCTCTTAAACGTCATTTCAGACAGGGACATGGCCCCAAAACTCGAGAGCCTAGTCAAAGTGGAAAGTTTTCCTGTAGCGAGTCAAATGGGGAATTTGTCTTGTGGTTAATTAGTCACGACAAGGAGAAAAACACAAATAGGAATGGTAAACAAGCAGGGATCATCTTCTAATCTCCTCTTTCTTTCTGTTTATGATGCTGCTTGAGGTAGTTTTGCTGAACACGTTGCGCAATTCCATTGTGGCTTGTTATGACATATTTTTGGATCTTGCTGGGAGATTTGTCTTCTTCTTTTGTATCGTTCTCTTGACTAGCATGTCAAGATGAATCTTTCTGTCAAGACATGCTCTCAGTCTCAGGTTAGAACAATTGCAGAGCGTAAAAAAGTTCATGGGCTGAGTGAAAATCTTTTTGTGCTAAATAGTTTGATTAGTGTGTACTCGGCTTGTGGGTTAATCAGCTATGCTCGTCAAGTGTTCTGTAAAATAGATTAGTGGGTTGGTTGGTTGGTTGGTTTTATAATATGATGTGGTTCGTGGAATTCAATTATTAGTGGGTTGGTTGAATGCAATTGTTTGAATGATGGGTTTGTTTCTGCAGGCTAGCTAGGGCATTGTTTGATCAAGTGGAAGGCAAGTATTCGGTTGCTTGGAATGTACCGTGATCGGTGGGTCTGTGAGTTTGGGTCTCATGGAGGATTGCGAAAGTTTTGTTCTATAAGATACCACCGGAAAATGAAGGACTTGATCACCGTTAACTTGGTGATGGATGGGCATGCAATACAGGGTAGATATTTAGTGATATTGAGGATATTTTAATAGCTGCAAGTGGATAAAATTTAGAGTTTGTTTAAAAGTGTAGTTATTGTTGTTTTTTAAATAGTTTTTCATATCAAAATATATATAAATAATATTTTTTTATTTTTTAAAAATTATTTTTGATATCAACACATCAAAATTATTTGAAAACACTAAAAACATATTAATTTAAAATTAATAAAAAAATAAAAAAAATTCAATTTTTTTCAAAAAGCTTTTGAAACCAGAAACAAACAGTCCCTTACTAAATTTAAAAACACGGCTCAAAAAGTTATTTGGCAAGAATATAAATTTTTTTATTGTTTTAATAAATTTTAAAAATAATTATATCACAAATAAATTTTAAAATAAAAAAGATTTGACAAGAATTTAAAAAAAATTTAAAAATATTTTTTTTATCGTTTTAATAAATTTTAAAAAATAATGATGTTAAAAATAAATTTTAAAATATAAAAAATTATTATTTTAATATTTTTTTAAAAAAATATTTTAAAAAACAATTAAATCTACCTGCGTGTGCTTATTATGGCTTGTTCTTATCTAGGGCCGTTGGAGCGAGGTTAATGGATGCAAGCTCACATGGAGAAAAATGGGATCGATGTTGATGTTGCTCTGGGTACTGCATTGGTTGATCTGTTTGCCAAGTGTGGAAATATTGAGAGGTCTCTTTTACACTCTGTGAAATTAAATTCCAAGTAAACTTAAATCTAATTGATAAATTATCACAATTTTTTTAAAATAAAACATTAAATTATAAAATTTAATTTAATCATACCATTTGAAATATGCATGTAGAAATCTTAATTATTTTACCTTTTAATTCAAGAATTGAGTGTTCTAAGATCAATTCCTCCAAGGAGATAGATAAGGTTAACACAAGCTTTTTCTGCAGTAGCACAATAGACGGATGTGCTATGGATCAGCAAGCACCTTGGAGAGGCAAGAATCACTTTGTTGGGCTAGGAGGAAACTGCAAAAATAAATACTCTGCTAAAAGAGCTCTTGAGTGCATCCATAAACATCGGTCGGAAAAAGCTAGTGATGAGCCGAAGCAAGCATCCACCATCAGAAACGCTCCATTCATGCCAAATTGGCAATGGCGCCATGGCTCCATATGTTTGTCTGCGATAATTTCAAGAGTTTAATACCATGCCAGCTTCACTCTTCTTATCTCATGCCACCAAGTTCTCATTGTTTAGTTAGAGTTACAGGAGCTGCAAATATTGATGTGTAACAGCTCAAACTTTCAATGATATATAGCCCATGATTTACAGTGCATACAAGTCATTAGCCGGAGAAGTATACTGCACAATAGATCATTGCCATGTATGGAAGGATATCCAGAAATGTTCATTGCTCCCAACCCATTAACATCTTCCAAACTTGATCCTCAATTTTGATTCTTGGCACAGCCAAGCCTTCTCCTTCATCAAGTATGACCCTGTACACTTCGAGTTCCCGATTTCCAATCATGCGCCTTTAATCTCAGCCGGGAAAGACAAACATGATGTAAACATTTCCTTTGGAGGAAGAACAATATATAAGCAATAATTGCAAGCAAACCAACAGTTTCAGCAATAATACATAGTGGAGTTCAAAAATCAATCTATATCTTCTCATCTCATCTTATCTAGATGCTTCAAAGTTATTGACAGGAAAAGGACAAGGTGATAAGACTATACAGCTCAGAAAACGGGTTCAAACATATAATTTAAATTATTAAATGAAATTTTAAAATATAATTTATTTTTATTTTTATTTTTTTAAGTGAAAACTTTTTGAGAAAATTTTAATAATATATTAAATAATTAATTTAGCACAACAGTTTAAATTGTTAAATAAAATTTTAATATATTATTTATATTATTTTTTAATCATTTATAAATAGTTAATCACCGACAAAATATGATAAGCATTTTCGGAGCAAGAGTGGTGTCATGAAAAACAAGTGGCTGACCCTTGCCAGGTAACACCACAAGATTCGCCACGAACAGCTCAGTATCAAGATCACGGTGAGAAGAAGAGAAGGAAAAAGATTTTGTTTTTTTTATATATAAAAAATAGGGTTTGTTGTTAAGGTATTTTTAAAATGTTGTTTTTAATGTGAATTTCAATAGGAATTACCGTTAGAGAATCTGCCTTCTATTTGCTTTTACATATCTTTTAAAAATCAAATTTCATTTAAAATTCAAATTTATATCCTCAAAAAAAATTCCAAACACAAAAATTAATTAAACCTTCTGAATTAAATTAAATTCAAAGAATTCCAAATACCTTGTCCATCTTCCAAAGCATGGAAGAGAGAAGTTGGGGCATAGAACTCAATGACTCGTAATCTTGCTGCTCATGGTCATGGCCAAGAGGCTTTCGTTATTTTTTCAGACATGTTGAGGTCAAATATTCTACCAGATGCCATAAAATCTCTCGGTTTATTGAGCACATGTCGCCATTTGGGGCTTGTTGATGAACGAAAAAGGTTTTTTCAACTTGTTAGTGAAGAAAATGACATGGGGCGACATTGTGGTTGTTTAGTTGATCTTCGCCGCCATGCAGATCTTTTAGAAGAACCTAGGGATTTGATAGGCTCCTCACAGGCTTTGAGGGATTTGATAACATCTCACTGGCTGCAAAAAATCCCTTGCGGTTGGGACCCTTTTGATGGCAGCTGTTACATAGCTTCATCCAACCTGTACTCAGCAGCAGGCTTGTATGAGAAAGCCATGGAAGAGATTAGTGAGGTGAAGAAACAAGGACAGCAGAAGATCCCAGGCAAAAGTTCGATAGAAATAGATGGGTTCTAGTTCTCTTGAGTAATGCCCTCTTTTCTCTCCGACCGTTTGCGGCACCTAATGTAACTCCATTTGAGTTGCCTCGGCATCTAAAACTGAGAAGTGAGAAGTGATACCTGATAATTGACCATCGACTTTCCATCCTTGAGCACATAGCGAATACCATGAATTGGATTAATAAAGAAATAAAAACTCCGACTAGATGGAGATCCATGATACTTATGATAAGATTTAAGAAAACTTGCAAAACACATAATGGCTAAAAAATCAAGCTTTGACCAACAATGCCTCCATTCAAGAAAATAAAATAGCGCTTCAACCCAAGATCCTCAGCAAAATCTATTAAAGGAATGTGGCCTCCAAGACCAGCAAAATATGTTTCAAGTGCAGTAACTACTACATATATGAGAGAAACGATAAGAAAATCATCGCTTTCCACCGCCGCCACCAAGCTTAGGGCCCTTAGGTCCAGCGCCCTTAGGCCCACCCTTGGTTTGTGTCTTCTGTGTCTTCGCCATCGACTCTGCTTTCTTTGCCCTCTTTTCATCCTTGGTTTTCTTGATTCTCTCCTTGATTTCGCTGAAAATAACAAAAACCACCATTACAATGGAAAGCAAAGAATCCACCTTCACCACCTTACTATATGAAAACCATAACATCACCTCCCATTTCCCAAGCCATAAAAGAGTTAAAAGTGAGAGAGAGTACCGTAGAGCAGCTTCACGAGCAGCATCACGGACCTCAGGCTTCTCAGTTCTCCTCTTCTGTATGACTTCCAAAGTAGCACCAACTATAGATCTCGAGTAGGGCTTCTTGGTGGTTCGGCGCTTCTTCTTAACAGCCTC